CGGCTGCGACGTCACTTCCAGCTCCGTCTTCCAACTTCCAAGGTAAATGGAATGAACTATAACCATAGACTGTATATACTACGGACAACTTGGTTCCGCTTTCCGCTAGTATAAGGGTTTGAAGCCAAAAATCTCTCAGTAATTCCGCGATCTTTCTCCATTTCCTGGAACCAACATTACGCAGTAGCGTTGTGCCCATTCGGCGAAAGAGTCACCAAGAGTCGCTGTTATGGCGCTCGGCTCAAACAGCGTATCCCCCGGGTGAGCTACACAATCCCTGAACGCCCATAGGCTGTATAAAGTGTCAATCATAGAAAACATGAACCCCCTAATAACTTTTAAAAACGGAGCTGTACAGAAAAAAGAGGACGAGCACAAACCAGTCTGACAATAACTACATGTCAACATCACAACCAGGGGGGAGAAAAAATTATATTTTGTGTAATAAATTGCTAAAGTTTGTCCACAGCTCCATAAGCTTTGCTAGCTAGGGCGGGATTTATGACCTATACTGCAGCCCGTCACCAGAGGGTGCTGTTCTCAGAGTGGCTTCACCCAGCAAGGAGGCAGACGCTGTCCACTCTATATACAGTCTATGACCAAAAGCTTAGAGTAACCTCTCGACTTCTCAGATTTGACAGTCGCTCAGGGAGCAGTCAGACATGCCTCTGCCTCCACCGAGGGCAGATAGAGCAATCAGCTGATACGGCGGACAGGTGTTTATGTGATTCAAAAAACAATTCTCTCTTCTGCTGAGACAAAACAAACATCCACGTCTGCCTCAGCCATTAGGGTGTCAGATATGTTTAGCGCCGAGGGTCATCCTGAGGCGTGCCCGCAGACGCCGTTGAAACGCTACAAATGAAAGTCTTTATGGGTGCCGGTGCCGCCTGTCTGGATCAGGCGTTTGCTAAATGCAGCAAATAATCAGTGTGAAGAAACCGAGTCTATTGATGTCGACAAGCAAAAACAACACGGGAACAAAATGCTGCAGAACCTATAGTTCAGATTACCCCAGAGGTTTCTCCAGCTTGTCTCTGAGCCAGCATTTCATCTAAGGTGGGAGAAAAAAAAAACGTCTGCTTTCTGGTTTCTTTTCTGACAGCAGGGAAATGTTACGACGCAAAAAAAAACAGAAAAAAAGCTCAACATCTCTCTCCTTCTACCCTCCAACACCTTATCCTGAGAAAATTAGACAGAGCCACAATGTAGAGAGCAGCGAGAACCATGCGAGGTCAAATAAATCAATGTATCTTTCCCTTCAGAGCTCACTTCACTCGCTGCAGATCACTCAGGGCTATAACCTAGATGTTTCAGGGACAGGAGTGAGCAGGGAATTCAAGTACACACCGTGGGCTCCGCATTAAAAATAGCCAGCTTGTTGGGAGCCTGGCTGAATATATGAATGATGAAATAACCAATAGTGGGTGTGATAACTACAAGGATAAGTGAGGTAAGAGAGCTGAAGTTTGAATGATGAAATAAATCAGATCCATCCATCTACCTATCCGTCCATGTGAGCATCTGTTCCTTCTGTTCATCGCCCCGCGCTGCTTGTAACCACATCACACTCAGCTGTCCAAAGGCAACTTATGGACAGATGATTGCCAGCTCTGCTGCAATGATTGGCAAGACAGCTACCGCCACCACTGCTGCATGACTGGAGGCTGATGTAGCTGACGGCAGACGGATGATGTACAGTTTTCGAAAAATAGCGAGGTCCCAGGCTTTTTAGAGAGGCCGGTCAAATCTTAGAGACCGTCTGGACTGTTGTTTGTAAGAAATCCAGCCTGTGATATCTGCAGAGGCTGCTGTGATAAGAACCCAGAAATCAGACACTATCAACGCTGCTGCTCTCCAACATGGAAGCGTGCTTTTTTTGGAGCTACTGCACAGAGAAGTTAGAGAGCAGGACTCCTCATTTGAACCAGACACGCTCAGCGTTGGGAAAATGATGGTTGACTGCAATCTCTGAACCCAGCGGCGGTTTTTGGACAGAATTACAACCTCTGGGAGCAACAGGCAACATTCAGGGCTTATAGTGGGGCAAAGGGTCAGCAACAGGAGACTTCAAGTCAAGGTTTTCTTGTCCATGACTCGCTTTTGTTCCCAGAACAATGACCAGTTATAAAATGAGGATGATAGTGTTTGAAAAAATGACCAAAAAGACGATTTTGAGATCTGATTTCAATCCATCTATTTTCTTACTTATCCGTGGATCGAGTTCGGGGCAGCAGACTCAGCAGGTCAACCCAGACGTCCCTCTCCTGAGGAAACGTTTTCCAGCTCCTACTGGGAGGTCCTGAGGCATCATTGGGTCATACGAAATATATAATCCCTTTGCGAGCTCTGGATCTACCCTGAGGCGTCCTTGGAATTCAAGATCTCTAGGGGGAGGTGTCCAAATCGATGCCAAGGTGCGACTCCAAAGCTGCTAACCCTTCCTAGCCACATCTCAACAGCGTGTACCCCCAATCTCATCTCTTTTGTTTTTGTCACGACCCATAGCTCAGGACCATACATCTACCGGTAAATCAAAAGCTTGGCCCTCCAGCTCAAGTCCCTCTTCACTACAGTCCTCATGCACAAAGTCCAATCAGTGCTAATCCTGCACCAATCCTGGGTCCAGATTAAGAGCCATTTATTGATTTATTGGGTCCAGATAAACAGCATGAAGCCACCACCCTGAGGACCCACCACCTGCAGGTTCAGGGTGCTTGAAAAGCTGCTCGTGCTGATCTCTGGACTGATTTATAGAAACTGATTAAAACAAAGCGACGGTCAGACGGCGGCCAGTTGGTTCTGGTCTGATATATGTCCAGTTTCTGCTGCTTTTGAACTTTTTTCTTCTGTGCAACAAACTCAGACTCTAAGGAAACCACAACAGTTCTGATACTCGGAATAAAAAGTACTGTTTAAAAACCTCTGTGTTACATTCCTCTTCTGCGTGCCATTTCCGTCCACACAAACGATATTTCACAGTAAATAAATGTACATTTGGCAGATAAATTGCCCTCCATACACACTATGAAAATAATCTCATGCTTAATGGCTCTGATACTTGAAATGTTTATCCATGGATATCTCGTCCTTGCTGCTGTTTATCCAATATGGCATGAAAGCACTACAATCAACTTCTAAAAGGATCTTGTGTAAGCTCTATAGATTTACAGGATAATCTCTGACAAGTGGTGCGTTTGAGGACTGGAGGACGTGCTTTTTTCATACTTAAACATAAACACGGAAACTACAAGAGCTCCCTCGGATTTTCGGCACAGAACCCAAAGGTCATGAAGCAAACATTCAGAACTTGTGTACTGTGCCGGCTCTTGTTGCTATGGTTGCACAGGTTGCTCAGCAGCTTTCAGCCATGCATATCAATTTAGAAAAGTGATTAAACGAGAAAATCCACAACGAGCCATGTGGTCTGGAGTGATTATTCTCCATCACCACCACTGTGTTAATCAGAATTTAACAACTGTTGATTTGCAGGCAAGTATTGTCGCAGAAATCTTCGCCGATCTTTGGGAAATAAATGAAGTCATGACTTTTATAATTAGCAGAAGTCGAAGGCTTCCAGATAGAAGTGCTAATTTACAATAGAGATAAAGCCTGCAGTCGTCTGTACGACAAGAATCCATCTCTGTGGTCATGAGAAAAGCAGTTTCAACCGACACCTTCCACTCAACCAGAAAGAGGATTCATCCAGACCCTGATACATCAGAAAATGAATTATTTAGTGGAGAGTCTGGGTCAGTAGCAGAGCGCCTGGCCATCTGCCAGGTTTCATTGAGTGCGGGGCAGGAGTTTGCAGAGCAGGATTTTGCAGAATTTTACTGCCTTTAAAAGAAGCATCTGACCCGCAGTCCTCTTACGATACTGGATGTGTGATGTTCGGTTTCCCGTGGGAAACGCTGATTTTCTGATGAAGTGTTGTAGTCAAGTCTCGCGGTGTACCCACCGTCCTTCAACCTGCCTCGCCTGCTTTGGTCTGAACCCCTCAAGAGGACCGATGTGAACTCGTTTCACTCCGCTGTGGGCTGCGTGTGGAGGCGGAGAGCAGGATAGGAAAAAAAAGAACAATTGAACAATTTTCTGTTTTTTTCTTGTGGCTGCATTGCATCACAGGGCTAGAGTGGGAGCTGATGTTGGTCTCTGTGTAATATTTCAACAATGAGCTACAAATACGAGGGTTTTTCATGTATATATCTTAAGATCTAGTCGTTGAGAAAAGTGACGCGGCAAAATTCAAGCACGCATCTTCATGAAACAGACTTCTCATGGTGCTCGCTGCTCACTAGTAGAGGTGGAGAGTCCATCCCCCAGAAGAGGATTAGACAGTCATGATCGTCCCTCACGCTTTAGTTTATTTGAAGTTCTGCTTTTCTCTTCAATCCTTTTTCATTATTTACCCTTTAATTTAAATGTCCAAATATCCGCAGGGTTGTTTTAAAGTGTTTAAGTGTGAGGGATCACTATTTGGAAAACTATAGGCGCCACATCCTTCTATGTAAAGAGGAGTAGGACCACACGGGGTGTCATTAGAGAGCACCATATTTTTTTCATAGTTTGGTGCGACATATTTTTATTAAAATATATAATTTCACATATAGTCTGATGACAGTCACTCAGAAGAGGAAGGGGCGCTTCATCAACCTCTGGAGTTGGCACAGTTGTTCAGAAGTGACACAGAGGATGAAGAATTCGATGGATTTAGTGATCTGGAGTGAGATTGAGAGTTTTGTAAACTTGTTTTGTTATGTTTTTTATACTGTAGTTATCTGAATAACTGTTAATATGTTACGATAGCGTACCAGACACCTAATCAGCCTGTTGTTCTCTATTCTATTGTTATTATTATAACTTCACTTTCAAGACAAGATGTCTGTTCTTGGTCTTGGATTTTGTAAAATAAATTTCCCCATAAAAATGCGACTTAGTATATGTTTCTTCTTCTTTATTATGCATTTTTTGGCTGGTGCGATTTATACCCGGGTGCAACTTATAGTCCGGAAAATATGGTAGTTTAAAAGTCATTTATGATTGTATATAGAGTTGTTCCATTTCCAACAAAAATGCCGAAAATGCTGGCATCTGTATCAATGAGTACCGGTGTCCAGGCACCGATCCGATTCCATGTAATTTATTTAATTAGTTATTCATTTACTGGTTATCTCCGTTAGCTCTGTTCTGTTTGAATTCCCTTTATATCTAAAAATATTGTGGCTGCACTTTAATTTTGAAAAAATACTTGTTTCTAGATTTATTTAACATACTGGTATCAGGATCGGTACTGGGTATTAGCCGATACCAACAGCACAAGTATTGGAATCGGTCTCGGGAGGGAAAAACTAGTATTGGAAATCACAAATATCCATGGTATGAGTCGCATGGGAGGGCAACATAAATGCTGGACAGTATCTCCAGGTTTCAGAGCTATGGATTCACTGTCTGGCTAAGGGTTTGGTCCAGGCTAGTCTTGCAGTTAAACCAGTCTCTACCGATGAAAGGTGCTGAAAATACCTTTGACATGACATGCTGCCAGACTGAAATAAGAGTGTACAATATTGAATCTGCAACGTCTGGAGTTGAAATGCCACTCACAGCCCTCTGTCATGTCTCTCAAACCTCTCTTCTTTTCCTGTTTCGTCTCTAAACACAAACCTACGAAGCAGAGACGTCGTAGACATTGTGTTAAAAACAGAAAGCGCAGTATTCCCTGGGACTCTCTTCAAGGGCTGAGTGAAACGTCACCCAAATGAAGAATGGCACCGATATCCAGCCAGAGGACAGCTTCCTCACTCTCCCTGTTTTCTGAGCCAGATAAATCAGCTCAAGGTTCCTCAGTGATCCTCTGTGTGCCAGTGGAGGGGGGATTTATCATTCTCAGATAAAGGCTCGGTGCTCGTCAACGTTCCCTTTCACCCTCTGTGCTGAATTTATGAGAAGTGGTGGCATTGTGTGTGAGCAGCCTTCCTAGTCACACAACAGAGTGCAAAAGGGCTGCACAACAAGACAATCCATTGTGTTCATGCTATTAATTTTCCACCCAGAGGATTACATTCAGACATTTGACAAATTGTGTATTACACAGTGATTTGGAGAGGGGAAAGGGGACTGCAGCAAGGGTACAAACGGTGTCAAATTCACCCTGTTTCTCAGATGTGAAATTTATGTTTTACAATTTTATGAGCTGCAAATTCTTAATCATTCTGATTAATTCTACAAGACCTGATTTAATTACTGTGATTTCTTCTTCCTGCAGAGACTTTATAGGCTGTCACTGCAGAGTACTAGTTGTCCTTTTAAGCCAAATTGTTTTGTTTGCTAACTAAAAGGCACTGTGAGGAGTTTTCATGTGTAGTGGACAAAAAATCAGAAGCTTTCAAGCACCCTCGCCCACTGCTGTAAAGATGTGGCCCCTGTAGAGCATGCATTTTGTTGTTTAAGTCAATGAATGCAAACAGAACATGAATTTTACCAAAAAAAAGGGGTGTCCCGATACGATATCAGCAAAAATTTGAATATCGGATTATATCGGCCTGCATCAAATATCTCCGATACAAGCAGTCCACTCCAGACTCCGCTCCAGCACCTCTATCTAGCAGCACTCGGATCCAGCATGTAGAGCCCAAGGGATCACAACAACAGTGTGTACTAAAGTAATAACAAAGTACCAAGGAGTAGGAGTGATGTTGGCCCTGTGGCAGAATTTTTCATTAAATTCCGAAAAAGAAGCTGCAGCTGAGTGCAAAAGATGTGCCAATATCGGATCAATATCGGTATTGGACAATACTGAAGGCTACAATATTGGAATCGCATTGGAGGTAAAAGGTTGTATCGGACACCAAACCATACCAAAAACTGCACATTTAATCCTGCAATGATCAACATTAAAAGTAACAAATGCGGCATTCCCCAACTGCACTTCCTTGAGTGGCCACTTGAGGCGCCTAATGAAACCTGAGTTAAAAATGTCCAATGTTACGCCTCACAGCAAATATAGCACAGCAAATTTTGACTATCAAAAGCCAGCAGGATTCGACTTTTTTGTCAAAATGCTCATTAAACATGTAGAGGACACAGGCAGATTTGTCCACAGGGGGCGCCAAATTCAGCACAAAACAAAAGTTCCTCACAGGAGCTTTAACATAAAAAATGTCCTGATTTTCCAGATTTTTTTACTTCGGATTATCTCGGTGACAGTCAGGTAACTGCTAACTGCTGGTTGTCTCCTGTCTACTTCATCGATTATTTTTGCTGTTGATGCCTTTTGCGAAACGTCTCTAACATTCACTTTGTCCCGCTGTGGGAGGTTCACTTCACTCTCACTCTCTTTAACTGGCTCGTCAACTTCATCACTGATTTATTTGTGGCTGCCAATGCATATAAGTTAGCCTTGGCCTGATTGAAGCTGCTAAATGACTTACTGGTGAAGAATGGCTGTGACGTGCAGCGGTAATGTTGCATAGAACAGGTGCTTTGTTCACTTCATATCACAAATATAATACACTGTTGTAGCTTTTGTAACCGCTTTACCGGGATCTGAGCATGCCTCAACACTGACTACCTATTGATGTAACTATCAAGCTATTTTCTTCCCTGTGTCTGCAGCACTTCATTGTTCTCTTCACAGGAGATAATCTATATCGCAAACACAACACCAGTAAAAGACATGATAAAGAAATAAAAGTAATTCAGCCAAGGACAGTCGAACCTGTGAAGAAATACCCTCCCACCTCTTGTCAAGACTAGTAGAAATACAGAATGTTGGTTTGAGGGATGAATGTAAAATATTAATGCAAGATTTGAGCTTCTCTTTCACTTTGGTTCTGAACCAACTCACAGTTCAGGAAATCGATTCCACTTTATGAATTTCTCTCGGCTAAAGGTGGGAGAAAGAGCCGGTGTAGTGTCTAGCTTTGATGCTGACAAATAAGCGAAGAAAAGATCTTAAAGTTTCTTGTAAAGTTGACTTTCAACATAACTCATGTTTTTCCTGTTATTGAATTAAGCAGAGTTTGGAGCTGACCAACAGTAAGGTGTTTCCTATGACCATGCAGTGGTTGCACGTGAGCTAATGCTTTCCTCCCGGTCTCTAAAGAGCGATGTGAATCAGTACTAACTAAAGCTGGGGTTAAAAAATAAACTGCAATTACAGTTTATTGTCAAAGGAGCTGGTCTAAACCAAGCCATATCATCCAGTGATGAGAATAAATGCAAATGTGCCAAAAACTGCAGTTCCTCAAGTGTCCACTGGAGGCTGGCCCTGAAAGTCAAGGAAACCCCATTTACGCTCATGTTAAACATCCAACTTTACATTACCTTCACAGCTAAATCAAGTAATTTCGAATTTAAGGATAATTGGAATAAGGGGGTTCAAAGTCTGACAAATAACCACCTTGATAAGGTTTAGGGCTGGGGCGATTCGTCAATGTAGATTGCTAAAAAGCAATGTTGAGTGCTTTGTGAATGTAAAAAAGCATGGATAAAAATGCACTGTTTTTTGTTTTGTTGGATTTCAAGAGAATCTTAAACAAATCATTGAATCAAATACTAATAGGACAAGTTTTTAATTATGTCGGTCAAATTCATTGTTATGATAATAGGTTAAAAACAGTAATTGTTAGAATAGTCAATAAATTAGTCGATAGATTAGTCGACTTATTGAAAAAATAATCGTTAGGTGCAGCCCTAATAAGGTTTTTATTCTGTTTACAACATCTGAAAGTAAAAAATTTGGATAATTTCTGTCTAACCCTTGCAGGCATGCTAGCTGAGTACAAATAACTTGTAAATGTTTTTCCTGTAGTTTCATCAAAAAGACCAAAACCAACAGTAAAGTCATCATATCAGCACTTTCTGTCTTCGTGGTCAGAGCCTGAATGTTTTATTCCTCTCAGCTTCAGCTTTACTGTTGTTCAAAAACTATTAAAAGCACATCATTAAGCATCCCTGCTGCTCTTGGTGACACGTTCCCTCATTACAATAAACAAGGGCACTGTTGTTTATTCTCAGTCTGCCCCATACACACTGTCCTGCTGCTGCAAATACTTACTATGGAACATATGGTGTTCAGACTGCAGCTGAAAACGGCCCTCCACAAATACAACATTTAGTCCTGTTTGAGTAATAGGTAAACAAAACTGTAGTGTCCAGGTGTTTGAGGAAATACCTCAGCCTTTGTAATGTGGCGTTTTCTATTTGTAAAGCATTTTTCAAGACTAGAGAAGGAGAAACTACTGAGCACAAAAAACTACCCTGACTCTAAGGTTAGGGTAAGAAAGTGGGTTTAAGCTTTTCACTTTTTAACATCGACAAAAACATCCGCCTGACTCGAAATAAGATGGTATCAGGTTTTTATCAAACCATAACTAAGTATTTCTTTATTCTGAGCGTCCCCCACTCAATTGTCCTTAAAAGCAGGGGTGTGTCTAGACTTTTTGTATGGGGGTGGCCCTAAACACTCTGTGAACTTACAGTAAAATCCACTCACTTCGTTAGTCCGGTTTGTACAATCCCTAACAAAAAGTGTCTCGAACCATAAAAACACCCTCCCCTCACCCCTACCCCCTTATAGTAACTCAATAGCCACAAATGCATTGGCACACCTTTTATACTTGGGCCCCTAACCGTGGACCAATCAGAGGCTGTATTTGAAATCAGCTGACAGATGTATGCCTGAGTGCAACTGAGACTACGTTTACGTGTGCCCGGCAATTTTCATAAACAGACATTTCACCCTCTCCATTGACAAAAAAAAACTGCGTGCATACCACTACGTTTTCAGACTCGTTTATACTAACCCGTGTATATATGCCGTCAAGAGCATGCCAAACCTGTAGGTGGCAGTGTAGCGAGAAGCTCAAGCCCACGTTAGCCAATCAGAATCCCGCATAGCAGCAACAACAACGTCCCCTTCCTCTTTCTGAAAAGAAAAGCATCGTTTTCAGGGGTGACTTCTCCATTCGCGTTTAAAGGAAGGGTGCAAACGATGGTTAATGTCTCCGGTTTTAAAAAGTAACTGGGTACGTATAAACGGGGCCTTAATGTCTGCCTGAAAGCTGAAAGTTCTGACTGACATCAAATTAAGTCTGTTCTGTTCTGAGTATAAACCCTGTAGAAACCACTAAAGCTTGTGTTTGACAAAAACAAAGTGCTGAGGACAGATTTTATATTCTGGACACAACTCTTTGAGTTTCTTTATCACGCTGTCAGAACTATTTCTCTTTTGGGTTGTGTTACTTGAACTCTCTGCAGATAGTGTCAATGGAGAGGAGAGTCCGCCGGTGTGACACCACTCAGACCGACTGCTCCGGAGCTGTGATTGGTCACAGTCAGGATTGGTGCGCTTGTGTTTGGGTCAAAGAGTCAGTCGTAGCAAAGTCGGACATAAGATTCATAAACTTCCCCCTGATGTATGTCGGTGCCAGCTGCCTAAAGATGCACCTGAAAGCAAAGTGATCTATCTGTCTCTGCCTGTCCAGGTGTGTTTCCTGACTTGTTTTCTACCTGTTTCTAATTAGATGATTAAATTGATTTATAGTCAGATGACAAATGACTTTTTTGAGAGACTGAGACCAAGACTAACTCTAAAATAACCACCGAAATGAACACTAAACCACTTAGAAAACAACCCTAAACCATGCTAAGTCCTCGTTTACTTGTTTTGACCATAAACTCGTAAATATGCAGAATCACAAAGAAATCTGACGGATATTTCACGGTAACTGTACGTGTTTTTAGTCGTCTCTTTAAAAGAAAAGTATCAAACTTCAGTATCTAAGTGATGAGAAAACCTCACCATACCTGCAGCGCGCTTTTAGCCGATGACGTCTCCGACTACATCGCTCCAACTTTCAAAACTTGCCTCTAATGACGGACATCTGTGTGTTTTTAGAGGAAATGATGGTTGAATTCAAGAAGCCTAAACATTTTTAAAATACATGCCAGACTCTTTGACATGAAACCCCTCATTTACAGCATTTCTGTCCTTTTTTTCCTTTTCTCATAATGAACCACGGTTTGCCACGGACCATCAACTGCTGGCTCCTACAGCCTGGTCGTCATATCACGAGCTCTTGAAAGACATTCCCTGCTCATTAGCTGATGTCCTGAGGCACAGCTGTCTCTACTTTCTGCTTGTGAAGCTTTTGTTGTTGACCTCCGGGTGCTTTGGCCACCACTCTCCTTTTATTCTCTTCCTCCCCGTCTCACACACTCAGTTCATCCCTCGGTTCCCTGTGATCGCCTCTGGGCAGACCGCGGCTCATTCTGTATCTCTTATGGATGTCTTTTTATGGTGCTGGGTGCTGAGAATCTGAGGCTGCATCCTTATTAGGTAACTCTGGTGATCAAGAGAGGGGTGAAGACGCTGTGATGGCTGATGTCTTTTTGCTAAGATGTGACAAAGCTGTGATATTTCAAAATAAAACCCGAGGCGAGATAAACCGAGTCTCCTCAGTGTGATCGTCTCTGTCATCACAAACCTCCCCCCTGGTCTGGTCAGCTGAAATGCTTCATTTTCCATCCCGGCTCTCATTGTTATGACAGCAGGGGTTTTAGTTTTACAGCTGACTCAGGTTACTCTCTGCCTCGTCGAGTCATAACTGCTGAGTCACTGTACAGCCGTGGGGCCTCGCGCCATGTCTCCTGATCAAAGGGGCTTGACCATCAGCAGAATAAACCCGACGTCGGTCATCTGACATGAGGCGGAGACATCCATTTAAACCGGCGCTGACACCTGATCCGGTAGGTGAGCTTTAGGTGTCAAATCTGACGTGCACATTTCAATTCCAGGCAAGGATTCTGACTGTCTCCACGCACCAAATTAGACACTCCTACTACTCTGGCAGCACGCGAATAGACGGGTTTCTTGTGTACGAACAAAACGAGGTGTGCGCAACCAGGGGGCAAAAGCCTGCTTCAGAGTGAACTGATACCAATGAAGATGTCATATTGTTTGCAAGTTCTCCCTGACACAATTGCAATAAAATGTCATTTCATTGAAAAATCACTTTGTCTTTCATTGCATCAAAATCAGAAACACACTTGCTGAAATGTCCATGAATTTCACTCAATTTACCAGGTTGTGACGTTGTTGTTTTAGATGTTTCTAATATCAGGAGCAGGGTCGTAATGTTTGCCGATTGTTTGTTTTGCCGATTTGTGAAGTTTACAGCACAACAGCTTCTTGTCATTTTCTTTCTCCGTTGACTACGCTAGTAAACAAATAAGAAACGTCCCGCTTTCTGCACCCTGGCTGCGCGCGCATATCTGCGATGATGTTGCACAGAAACCCGTCTATTGGGCCGGAGCTGAAAGTGTCTCAACTTGAAAGGATATTAGCATCACGATAGCTAAACAGCACAAAGGTTGCCGGGTAATGTATGAAAACGGACGGTTGTTCACTGGTATCTAAAATGGAGGACAAACTGATCGTGTCAGTGTGTGGATGCCCTGAATTATATGATACAACTTCTGAACCGTCCTCCATCTCCTCACCCGTCTTTCCCTCTTTGTTACAGACTGGATGGGGTGGAGTCACGTCTTAAAGGGACATAAGACCACAGCCTACCTACACACATCCAAAACCAGCTTCTATTTATTTATTTTTTGACTGTTTTTTACCAATTTGGGCAAAATGATGTTGGTTGTTGTGGTAAATTTCGGTATCTGTAAGTTTTCGGTTTATCGCCCAGCCCTAGCTTGAAGCTCTGAGACAGACTCCCAGTTTCTGGAACATTCAGGGGTTTTCAATCCGACAGAGGAGATCGGTCTACTTTCAGAGACTGATCCCTCATAAACGAAGCTTACCTGTTCTACATTTTCGGTTTCATAATCTTTGGTGTCAAATCTTTGTGTCAGAGCTCGGGCCATGTGGGATTTCTCTTTGCGTGCGTTTATTCTCTTAATTAACTCTTAATCAAACACGACAGATCAGTCAAATTCATGAATCCCCGAGGATGGAAATAAACCCATACAGCGTTTTTTCAAACTCCATCACAGCAGGGCCGTGTGCATACAGTGAGGAGATGTGCATTAGAACATTAACCTCCACCCACACTCACGCACCCTCACGATGACCCAAAGGCATTCAACAGAACTGATGCTGAGATGTGAAAATGTGAGGTTGCATCAAAAGCTGAAGCTGGAATCACATAAACTAACCCAGCAGTGACTCAACATTCGAGCAGAACTATTCAGCTCGCCTGGAGTAGCACACAGATGTCTGCTCGCTGTAGGGTGTAACAACTGCGTGACTTGATCAGTGACTTTCTCTGGTTTTCCTCAGGTTGGGATTTAAGGAATAAGACAAAAAAAAAAGCTGCAGCATATGGCCAAGAGTGCCGTGTTATGTAAACTGTAATCCAGGGAATTTAAGGCACAATGAAGACGCAGACAGCCAGCTCAGGCGATACAGAGTGATGTGTCTTTAAAAAGGAAAAAGAAAAGGTAATAAAGGAGGAGATAGCTGTTTCTGTGCCTGTTTACTCTTTCAGCTGCAGGTGGGATTAAATCTGATTTAAACGGGCGCTTCCTGGCAGGAAAACTCGCAAAATTAGACATGAGCTTAAATAAACATCTGTGTGTACTCTGGATAATGCAAAGTTTAAAAAACAGAAACTGTGGTGATTAAAACTGAATCCAGTGTGAGAGTACAGAAAACTGTGAACAATGTTTAAATCAGAGTAAAACAGGAATGAGGATCAATTTTCAAAACAAGATAATCAATAATGTTTGAGATGATCAAGTCTGTTATTGCGTCTCTGGGTTTAGTTGTAGCCCGAAACATTGAGCATCAAATCCAGAACCTTTGACTGTCTGTGACGACTCCATCAACACGGCAGTGGCTGCAGGTGCTGCAGGGCTGCCATCCTCCTCTACACTCAAAGCAGTCTGGGTAAAACACAGCCAGACTTAAGAGCGAGTCCAGATAGTTTAAAGTCTTGATCCAGTGATGAATTAGGAGTTAAAATCCATGTTTTTACAGCAGCAGGATAAAAGCTGGTTAGCTAACTAACTAAGTTGACAGGCGATCGCACTGTGAGGTGTTCAGGGTCGGTTCGGTAAAACAAGAAATCAGGCAAAAGTAAGAAGTTAGAGGGAAGTCAATAAAACAAAGGACTCCATAGCAGTATTGATGAGGACTGGGATCATGACAGAGTCTCAATAACGTTACCAGCATTATACCCGTGATAGGCTCCAATCTTAAATTATGTTAGTGCAGATTTTCAACTCCTGGCCAGGCAGTGTGAATATCCCTGTCACAAGACCGTTGAATAGGGCTGGGCAATATGGCCTCAAATCAATATCACAATATATTGATCAGTTCACCTCGATAACTATAAATGGACGATAACTACTCCACAAGCTGCTCACCCCCTCCCACATTAACTTAGTCTACTTCAGACAAACTTTTGACCCGTCCTCCATCTCCTCACCTGTCTTTCCCTCTTTGTAGGACAGCGTCTTAAGGGGACATGAGACCATAGCCTACCTACACACATCCAAAACCAACTATTTATTTCTTTTTTGACACAGAATATATTAGCATGAGTAAAATGGCATTGGTTATTGTCATAAATTTCTGTATCAGTAAATTTTCGATTAATCGTCAGGCCCTATCAGCATCCATAAAAAAATTCAGCAACATGGGCATGCAGAAAAGTCCCATTACAGGATGCGCAATGTCAATTATCAGACCCGAGACACTGCATACTAGAATTATATCTGTGATAGACGCCTATCTTGAGTTATTTTAGTGCAGATTTTTACTTGAACACACAGAGAAACCAACTCCCGGGCAGGCAGTGTGTTTATCCCTGTGTCACAAGACCATTGAATGTAAACACGTACACGAGCCGCTGCTCTGCCACTATCAAAAATATCTGCAAAATGCTTAGTCACTCATTTTTAGGCGGTTTTGTCCTGTTCACATGTACAGACCACTCAATTTACAAGATTATTGCACTAACATGTTTTTACAGAAGCACAAAATGGACAAACTAGAAACAAACCAGTGAAATTCCACTATATCCACTGTTGAAGATTGATCGTTTGAGTATCCCTGAGTAGAAAATACATGCAGAGTTTGCTGCTGATGAAAGACGCACTCTCACTCTCTCTTGACCTTGCCATCCTGGGGTTTGAACCGGCAACCTCGCCTGCAAACAAGCGCTCTGTTCCTCCCTCCCGGTCACTTTTGCCCTCGTTTAATGACCCTGTGCTATTTGTAGCTCTGTTCATTCCCACTGTCAGCATCACTAAATGGGGATGTATTGGCCTGGGGATGATGAGGGCAAATAAACTGGGTAGTGAGGACACTGAGAGGGAGGGTGGGGGGGCAGACCTGACTCAGCTGAATGAACCATCAGTGACACCGCCTCCTGGAAGTGGGTCAAAAAAACACACCTCCACCCTGAACCAGGCGGACAGACCGAGTCTATTAATGCAGAACTCTAAATGAGCGGCGTGACTTATGGCTGCGGAATTATCATAATATGTAGATTGGAATCACGTAATTACTGAAGGCCGTGGAGGTGCAGCGTCTTAAGACAGTTCTGCTGGAAGTATAGACATCAGTTCAGAGCAGCATGGCCACCAGCACATGATAAAAATGATGGGAAATCATTCCCCCCACGGTGAGGCCTAAAATACTCCACCTCCGGCAATTCTAAAACAGGTAACAGACTCGGCTGTTAATCCTTTAAATGTGAGGAAGAGATGCTAATACATATTCATGCAAATTAATGCACTGCTGCAACCCGACCTGACAGGGGAGCTTATTAAATTCAGCTCCTTTAAAACCAGCGTGACATTCAGGAGTCGAAATCCTGTCCTAACCTTGTTAACTGGTGTAAGAAACAAGCATGTAAGGGGAACGGTAACAGAGCTCCTCCAGACACCGGCGGCCAAATTAAAATGTGTTTTGGTGTTTTTAGCCGAGACAATGAGTCAAAACACAACTGAGGGAGAGAACCTGTTTGCATGAAAACCAGCCAGAAAATAATGGCAGTAATAATAAGCATAATAATAATAATAATAAAAATAATAAAAGCAGATCTGTCTTCTCTCTGAGAGCAGAATAAACAGCTAAATACTGATGAAGCAGTGTGAGTGTGCGACTAATACAACCTGGTAATAAGAAATAATAATAACTCAGAGTGGGAACAGAAGCTGTCTCACGTCAAGAATAAAAAAAATTAGTTTGTTATGAGCTGAGATTATTTTAATATTTTGTTTTACAGTTTGAAAGTCTCTGGTAAGGAAAAAATAAACACTAATGTGCCGATTAAACAGGTAAGGTGTGAAAAAAAAAACACTTTTAGACCAAATTTAAAGTGGTTTACATACAGAGACGTTGAAACGGACCATCCCTGATCTTCTAAAACCTTAAAGATATATTTTCAAGACGAAGACGAAGAAGACGAAGACGAAGACGAAGAAGAAGACTAAGACTAAGACGAAGACGAAGACGAAGACGAAGACAAAGAACTTTGTTGATCCCCGAAGGTTACGTTAGTTACAAGTTATTAGGGCCTGACTGATGTGGATTTTTTGGGTCCGATACCGATTATTGGGGGGTTATTATTGTTTATGAAATCCAAGCAGACCTACACATTAGGGTTGCTTGCTAAAATGGAAAAGGTGAAAATTTCACGTCATTAACGCTAACCCCACAAAAGAAATGTAGCAAGCTAGGCTACAGCATCATGGTAAAAGCAGTTTAGCTACTTTACTGCAGTTTTCCTATTGTTTTTACTAGGGCTGCAGCTATCGATTATTTTAGTAATCGAGTACTCTATCGATTAATCTGTCGATTAATCGAGTAATCGGATAAGAAATGTTTTGCTCTCACTGTAATACTTTGCATTGAATCACGTTTGCCTCATTAAAAACCATCAGTAACACACAAAACTGAAATAGGCCAGGTCTTTCAAATGAATATTTTTACTGCATAAATCAGGAACCAAAAGTTTTACATTTTACCATGTAGTTCACATGAAACTACTGAAGGCAAGGTCTGCAGATGGTCTTTTAATTGCTATGGTAATGATCTTTGCAGTTTTCACTAAACCAGTCACAACTATTTCCAGGCTTTGGATCTAATTTTACTTGTTTAATTAATAGGCTGAAATAATATAATTCTTGGATACTAACATAATTTGACAAGCAAATGTACATTTATTCAATATATAAAAGTGTTACATTTTTATTTACATGTTGTTGTGTGTTGGTCATTTTGCAGCCCTCTGCTGCTCATCACACGCCTAGCAGGTGGTGTATAGCATTATCACCATGGATACACGGATGTTTGTGTGATTTTTTTCATCCACTGCCGCCCGGTTTGTGTCGTGTAGATGTTGATTATGAAAACACTTCGCAATAATTTGGAAACGTGAAGGGGGAGCTGCTGCTGCCCGGTGTTTACGGTAAACAGACGCAAACACCGACCAAGTGGACGCTTCGGTCTCCGAAAACGCCGAGACAAATTTACAAACAGCCACTATTTCAAACAACTGGGCTCATAATCGTGATGTAAACACTTACTTTCTCGCTAGAAAAAATATTATTATTGAATGAATTTATATAATTTGTCCGGGATGCAGTCGTTCTATGTAGCTTGTGGTAGGACTATTTAAATTTTCCCGGCGCTGCGTCCGGCCGGCACGAAATGCATTCTGGGGTATTTAGTATGTATGTGTGTAAACGCTCGGGCAGCCGCGGCATACTCAAATCATCTTTGAGTAGTCAGTAGGCAGTAGCTACTGCTTGAGTAGGTAAGTAGATAGCAGGCAGTATGCCATTTCGGACACAGCTTCTGTCTGTCCTCGTTTCCCTCCATGATTGAACCAAACGCGCGGCAGCGGAAGGAGCGGAAAGAGCACGCTTCTGCGCAACAGAAATAACCGTCCGTGTCAAACACCGTGCGCTGCACATGGTTCCGGATTTAAACGATTCCTCGAGGCATATAATTTGCCTCGAGGAATTTTATTAATCGAGTTACTCGAGTTACTCGAGTAATCGTTTCAGCCCTAGTTTTTACTCTTATCTTGTGTTTATTCCCATGTCAGGATTCGACCCTTACATAAAATGGCATAAATGTGTTGAAGGAAGCCAGGTTAAACACAAAACTTTGTTAAAATAAGAAGGGACGGGAAAAAAAAAAACAGATCTTCTCTACTGTCTTGTACATGTCCTGATTTTTTATTGTTGGATATCTATTTAGCAGTCTTGTGGTTTTCTCTCTCCTTTTTAGGGACATTTTGCAGACTTTACACAGTGTCCTCTCCGTCCCAAGGAGGAGGTGACAGAGTTTCCTTGGCGATAGAAGTTTCAAGGACCAGTCTGAGTCACACACGCTCAAAGTGAATAGAAAATTGGTCCTATCAGTGTGTTTCATGTCCACCGTGTTATCAGGCGGCGCACACAAAGGCCTCGATTCTGAACTTAATAAAGTGTAATAACACGCCTTGTAATAAGGAGGAAACTTCCTAAGGCCACTTCATAAATTATGCAAATCTGCAGGCGAATAAAGTGCCCGAGCTTAATGGAGATAGTGTGCGAGGTAGAGGGTGACCCGGGAACGTCGTGGTCCTCGTTCTTTTTAATCGCCATAGATACCAGCTTCCTTAAGTGTCTCTAAAGCAAATAATGATACAGGAACCGGAGCTGAACTCGTGCTTATTCCAAACCTCTTCTTTCGAATCGCTGCTGTGCTGTTCCCTCTCTGTTAATTTATAGTTTCCACTTCGGTCAGCGAGGTTGAAAAACGCGAAGAAAAAAGGA